TTTCCACCGTTATTTTTGTTTCCTTTTTCTATTTCTGTGTTTAACTTGCTCTTCTTTTCCTAGCTTCTCATAGAAGATTAAATCAGTGATTTTATATCTTCCTTGTTTGTTTGTTTTTTTTTTGTCCTTTTTGAGACCGGCCGCACCGGGCTCAGCCAGTGAGCGCTGTAAACGCGCCGGTCATCCCTATATAGGATCTGAACCTGCGGCGGGAGCGCTGCTGCGCTCCCAGCGCCGCACTCTCCCGAGTGCGCCACGGGCTCAGCCCATCTTCCTTGTTTTCTAATGTGACCATTTAAAACTATAATTTTCCCCCTAGAAACTGCTTTTGCTGCATCCCCCATATTTTAACATGTCTGTTTTTTTTATTATTGTTCAAAGTGTTTTCTAATTTCCTTTGTGATTTCTTCTTTGACCCCTGGGCTATTCAGAAATATACTGTTTAATTTCCAAATATTTGGGGATTATGTATCTTGTTGTTGATTTCTAGTTTAATTCTATTGTGATCATGAATATATTCTGCATGGTTTCAATTCTTTGAAATTTATTGATTTTTGTTTTATGATCCAGCAGGTGGACAATCTCGATGAATGTTCCACACATTCTTGGAAAGAATGTACAATCTAGAGTTGCTGGGTAAAATGTTCTATAAATCTCAATTAGAACAAGCTGACAGCATTGTTCAAATCTTTTATATCTTTGATTCTTTGCTTCTATAAACTACTAAAAAGGAAGTGCTAAAATCACAACTGGGGCTGTGTATCTATCTATTTCTCCCTTTAGTCTGTTAATAGTTCGTAAATCTCGGTAAATGGTATACTGAAATTATTTACACTATTGTTGTACCTCTCCTGTATGTTTAAACTAATTCTCTGTCTTTGCTATAAAGGAAACTAAAGCTAATAATCTCTAATCCAAATAAGTTTAAACTTATTTAAATTTATTAGAGTCTAATGATAGCAATCCAGTTTTTTCCCAACACTGAATCTAGTAACATATTATTTATACTCTTCAAAAGGGGAAAACAGGAGTTTAAATGGATAGGGAATTTTATCAAAGCCCTTCCAAATGTCAGTGTTAGGTGCATGAACCTTCATCCAAATTATTTTGAAATCTCTCATTCAAAAAACTCCCAACCCCAGGATTATTGCTACCCAATTTAGGGATGGGAAGTGGTTTTGTTGTTTTTTTGTTTTAAATTTAAAAACATGACCCACATGTCCTCTTCTTTATGCTGATGTATACATACAAGTTCCTAACCTGATATGTGTGAGCAATGTGTTTCTTGGTTGTTTCTCCCAAAAATATTAGATGATAAGTAGCTCCTCTGCCCCCTCCAAAGATTAACCCTTAAGTTCTCATAAACTCTAACTCAAGAACTCAAGGAATAAGAACTTCAGGATCTTAAGTAAGCACAACTGAATCAACAAGGGCCCTCGGGGCCGGCCTGGTGGCGCACTGCTACAGTGCGCTGCTTGGGAGCGTGGTGGTGCTCCCGCCGAGGG